ATTTGCTCATGAAAAATCTCTGTTTGCTTTAAGACATCTTTATTTCCCTTCTTTTTTCAACTTAACTTTATTTTTCATAACAAATTTTATGTTCACAGCAGACTTGAGTGGAAAGTACCTAGAGAGTTCTCATACACCTCCTGTCCCCCAACAAACACAACCTCCCCGACTGTTGACATCCTGCACCACAGTGGTACAAACTACATTATCACCCAAAGTTAATAGTTTACATAAGGGTTCACTCTTGGCGTTGTACATTCTATGCTTTTTGACAAATGTACAATGACATGAATCCATCATTCTGTTCCAGTGTCACACAGAATAGTTTCATTGTCCTAAAAATCATCTCTGCCCATTCATCTCTCCTCCCCACTAACCCCTAGCAACCAGTGATTTTTTAATTTTTTAGTTTTTTTACTTTTAATTTTTATTTCTTTATTTTTTTACTGTATCCATTGTTTTGCCTTTTACACAATGTCATGTGGTTGGAATCATACAACATTTAGTCTTTTCAGACTTTACCTTCATTCTTAAAGGGTGTTTTCAGGATTAAGAATGTTAGGTTGGCAGTTGTTTTCTTTCAGCATGTATCTTGTTGTCTTTTCCTCTTTCAATTGAGAAGTCACTTGCTGGTCTTACTGTTGTTCCTTTGAAGGTAATCTGTCCTTTCCCCTGGATGCTTTTATGATTTTCTCATTGTCTTTGATTTTTTGTAGTTTTACATGATGTTTCTAGATGTGGATTTCTTTTTATTTCTCGTACTTAGAATTCATGGGTCTTCTTGAATCTGTAGGTTAATGTCTGTAGTTAGTTCTAGAAAGTTTTCAGTTATTTTTTCTTTGTTACCTCTGCCATATTCTCCTCTCCTCTCTTTTGGGTACTCTAGTTAAACATATTTTAGATTTTCTCACTGATTCCCTCTCTGTCTCTTATCATTTTTGTATATTTTCTATCCTTTTTGTGTTTCCATGTGTGGTTTCAGATATTTTATTATCTCTTTTGTTATGTCTGTTTGTTGTTAAAGCCATCCATTGAATTATCATTTTCAGTTATTTTATAGATCTAGAATTTCTATTTGATTTTTAAATTTGTTATTTTTAGTGCTAGCATACACATGCAGGTTGTGCAAGTTTGTTACACAGGTAAATGTGCGCCTAGGTGATCAACACATCACCTAAGCATTAAACCCAGCATGCATTAGCTATTTTTCATAATGCTCTCCCTTCCCCCTCCCCACTCCTCCTTGATTCTTTTCCAAATAGGTTTTGGGGAATGCTGTCTGTACTTGGGGCCTGGAGAGTTCTGTCCTCCATTGAGAAACCAAGTGCATTGCTTGACTTGCCTATTAGGGGGAGGGTGATGTTGAGAACAAGGTTAAATACCCACCTGCCAGGACATCAGTCAGACCCAAGGAGAAAAAATCCACTAAAGATGTTAGAAGCACAGAGGAATCAGTCTCTACTCTGGTACTTAATATTGGTGACCTGGTATTTAAAATGCTCCCACAGAGGAAGGCAAGAGTTGGAGATTGTCAGCTCATTCCTGAAGGCTCTCCCATCTCTGGAATTGTTTTTAAAGCTGTTTAGTGATTTTAAAATTCTTATTTTTGATGGTAAATTTTCTGTTTTTTCTTCTCTATTTATTTCAGCAGGACTTTTAGCCTGTGCCGACTTCTATATTCTACACAAACATGGAAGTCTGTTACACTCTCTCAACGTTTTGTTTTCATTCCCCACCCTGAGTTTTGTTGGAATAAACAGTGCTACTTTGTTTCTGCTTCCCCTAGTGATTTTGAAGTTTTATGTATTATTTCTGGTTTTATGGTTCCTTTATCATTTTAACAAACATTTTTATTTAAACAACAGTAATTACACAACCCCCCACCCCCGCAACAAGACAAAGGCTTCATCTTGCTTTGTTCACCTCCCCTCTGGCTCCTCCGCTGGTATTCTTCCTTCAGGCTGGTCTCCTCCAATCCATTTTCAACCCAGCAGCCAGAGTGGTTTTTTAAAAGTGATCAGCACTCCTCCACTGGAACCACTCAGTGCCATTCCCCTTACGACAAAGCCCAGGCCCTCAACATGGCACATGAGGCACCATCTGGGCCCTACCACCCTTTCCGATCTCAGCCCAGAAGTCCCATCGACCTAAAGAAAAGAAAGATGGATTAACCACAAAAACCTCTGGCTCAAGTCAGCACATTCATAACTCCCTGACCTGCCAGGCTGTTGCCTGCCTTTGCTCCCTCTGTCTGTCACTGGCCATTCTAGTGCAGGCAAAAGGGCAGTTATCAC